GCTCCAAAGCTGAAAGCAAGAGCTGGCTGTACTCCATCAAGAGCTGGATGGGGCACTCCACTGAGACCCAGCTGACAGGTGCCATAGCTTGCAGTGTGCTCTCCCAGCTGTGCTCCTGCTGCAGGCTGGTATCACAACCCTCCCATCCTCTGCCCTAAGGCCCCTCCAAGAGGGGGCAGGTTGTGATAGGACAGTACTTGTGAGAAATTTAAGTTACTTTCAACCCTCCTCACTTTCTTCCAGCCTGGAGGGGAGGCCCCACCAGGGGTTTTTTAGCCTCCTCTGCCCCTTCCCAGTCTTTCTGCAGGGAGGGGGAAGAGAAGAGGAACTGTCCTAACCCCATTACTCACATGGGAAGAGAAAGCAGAGCCTTCCTGATCAACTGGGCTTTTCAACTCTCTCCTCCCCTCCTGTGAAAATGGCTTGGGGTAGCTCAGGAAAGGACAGAGAACTTTGCCTGCAGTAGTTCAGATTAGTTGTTCAGCCTCAGAATGTGGGCAAGTGGGGGCAGATAACTCAAATTCACTAGTGCTCACATTCACTAGATGGAGCCCTGGATATTATGTCGTCATTGCAAGAGGGGGATCCTGCCCAGCCAAAAATCTGTCACTTGCAACAAGAATCTAGAGCACTGGCTGCTCAGCTGGCTGGCCACTGGAAGCGCTGAAAAGACAAACTGTCCTACACATTGCCCTACCACTGTGCTTTGCTCTGGCCCTGGGGGAGCTGCCTCCAAAGGGAGAGAAAAATTCAGCCTCTAAGGCCCAGCCCCATTCAGTGCTTGGCCCTCTGTTGAGACTTTCCAAAAAGGGGGCCAAGTTAGTGTCAGTAGAGGAGGAGCTTGTGAGATAAACAGCCACCAGCTAGAAGCAGGAGTCAGATACCCAACCATTTAACATTAAGATGTATTACCAAGTAGCCATGAAATAGTAAAGAATTTAAATCCCTAACAACTAGCCCCACCATTTTGTCTACCCAACAAGAGACTGGCTTGGAAATGATGAAGCAGACGAGATGAAAGGCTCTCTTGTCCCTGTCCTGGCACCACCCAGGCTTCTTACAATAGGATTTTCTTCCTTTTGTCACACATTTTAATTCTTTGCTATAGGAACTGCAAAGCTGAGTGGATTCTTAGATCACTGAACACATAGATCTGGGTATAGTTTGGGCATCAGGAATACAAAAGAAATTTGTCTTTTGTGTCAGAAAAGCCCAGAGTTGCATCTGTCCTTATGGCTGCCACAATGGTGGGGGATAGATCTGGTGCAGTCTAAAAAGTTTGTACTTTGGATAATTCCTTATAGTGGAGCAAGCCCACAGTTCTGCTTGTTTTTGTCATTGTATTGGATGGGAGAGTTTGGTGCAGTAGGTAGTTTGAAGTAATGTGTCCTGGAACTGACAGCTTTGAGACTCTCCTACTTTAGGGTTTGCAATCAGAGATGCTGTACTAATATTTCTGGAATATTTCCTGTGTGAGCACATTCTTTGCACTGTAGAGCTGGATTGGGAGCAGCTGTTTGGTCATTTGACTATCAAAATGTACATGTTTCATTGAGCGAATAAGTGCATCAACTACATCAGTTTAAGGTTGGGGATGGTCAGTAATCACAATTTAGGGTTAGGTTGGTTGTGTTACACTTGCCCCTTTGTATCAGTAAATGGTTTTTTTCCCCCTAAATGTTGATATTGCTGAAGGGCTAGTTTTGGATGAGGCAAAACAAAAGACCTCACTCCCAACAAAAGTGCTAGGGTTGGCAACTTGCATTCTCCCGTTATTACCAAAGCAAAAGGAGTGGGATGGCTGCATCACACAGTGTCTTTTATGTAAATATATTTCTTTATATTTCGAGTAACCATAAACTATTTTTAAAAGTTATATAAAATAAAATATTTATTTCAGTTCATAAATACTTGTTAACAAATTTCAGTTTCCTCAGGGTGATTTTCCACTGTTTGTTTCTAAGGGAGGGACATTCAGTCAAGCTGTGGCTCTGTCTCATCCTATATTCTCTTGCTTCTTTGCTGAGACCATTATTTCTGCAGTGGCAGCATCTTTTCATGCAGCTGACAACTTTCTCTGTGTCTGTGTAATATTCAGTCTTGCTGTCCAGTGTGGTCTGCAGTTTATCTGGAACAAGCAGCAAACATCAAATCTCTCCATTTTGTTTTAGCACCAACAAGTATGTGTAATCCACACTGAGGTTTCATGCTGTAG